GATGGGTGGTTTTTAAATGGGGCCCCTCGCCCTGACACCGCGCACATTCGTGTTGTCAAGATTTTGCAGCAGGTTTAGGGATGGATGGCTAGTTGCTTTCGAAAAGTTGGCTCTCGCCTCATTCGTTGCAAATGTCTGCATCCAATGAATTCAAGTATGGAGGCCAGTATGTTCTCAGAATGCGGGTCTCGCCCGAGCGCCGCGCACACTCGTCGTCAAAGTCTGCAACAGCGTCAGAGATCGAGGCCAACTATTTCGAATACTGGGGCTCTCGTCGTAACGCCAAGGGCATTCGCTGTAAAGGCATGTAACAGCTTCAGAGATGGAGAGCCCGTGGTCTCCTTCAAAATGACGTTCTCGCTCGAGGCCCTCCTCGAGTTTAAGGATACGGTGCCCCATAACATGTGACAGTGGCACGGATGGAGAGCGGCTCCTTTTCGAAAGTGAGCCTCGCCGGACAGCAGGGGGCGAAGCTCTTTTCGAACTTCTCGTCGTTGGGTGTCGCTTAATAGGGGGGCGATACATTAGGGGGGGGAAGAAAATGCACTCTTCGCGCCCTGAGGGCCACCGTTTGGACCCTAAAAGGCCCCTCTGGGGGCTCGAAAGGGCCTATTTACGGCAGCCCTTGCTGCCCCCCCAGTCATCGCCCCCCCATTATGCGGCGCCCAACGTCGTCGCCGCCCGCCGCCCTCCCTCTCCAGAGCGGGAAAAGGAGGAGCTCGACGACAGAAACAAGGCAGAAGCAAGGAGGAGACCCGAGGCCGAGCGCGGGTGGACAGCGCACGAAAAAACAAACCTCCGACGTCGTGCTTTGGATTTTGGCAGCGCGTCTTCCCAGAAATCTGGGCCCCTTCGCGGGGGCCCGCTTTCAGCCCGCGTCGTTTTTGAAGATCCTGGAGCCTGGCGAAGCTCAAGGAGGCTGATCAACTCCAAAAATCGATCAAAGAATCCGCGCGGAGCTCCGAAAGTTGGTTGATGCTGCTCTTTTCCAACTTGGAACCAACCCTCCATCTTAATTTTCGTCACGGCCCAGGGGGAACGCAAGGATGGAACGAACTAGAAAGAATTTGTCGCTCAAAACGCCCCCCCGCTGGCATCCGCTCCCCCATCCCCGCTATCGCCAAGCTCGGCCCGTCCATCTTCGTCACTGCCCCGGCACACGCCTCGCTGTCCTCCTCCTCCTCCTCCTCCGCCTCCTCCTCCTCCGCCTCCTCCTCCTCCTCCGCCTCCTCCTCCTCCGCCTCCTCTTCCGCCTCCTCCTCCTCCTCCGCCTCCTCCTCCTCCTCCTCCTCCTCCCCCTCCCCTCCTCCTCTTCCGCTCTCCTCCTCCTCCTCCCCTCTCCTCCCCTCACCCTCCTCCTCCTCTCCTCCTCCTCTCCTCTCATTCTCTCGTCGTCCTCCCTCCTCCTCGTCCATAGAACTGGCCAGCCGTGAAGCACGCCGCACACGCCGCCCCCCATCGGGCGCATCGGGCCGATGGGCCCCCCCTGCTTGGCTCGCCCTCGGGGCGATGCCCGCCTCTTTGCCCCCCTGTTTCTCCTCCCTCCTCTCCTCTCCTTCCTCTCTCTCTCTCCTCCCCCTCTTTCTCATCCTCCCTCCTCCTCTCCTCCTCCGCCTCCTCCCTCTCCTCCTCCTCTCTCCTCATCCCTCCCCTCCTCCCTCCCCTCCTCCTCCTCCCTCCTCCTCCTCTCCTCTCCTCTCATCCTCCCTCTCCTCCTCTCCTCTCCTCCCTCCTCCTCCTCCTCTCTCCTCCTCTCCTCTCCTCTCTTCCTCCTTCCTCTCCTCCTCCTATCCCTCCTCCTCCTCCTCCTCTTCCCTCTCCCTCTCCTCCCTCCTCTCCCTCTCCTCCTCCTCCTCTCCTCTCCTCCTCTCCTCCTCCTCTCCCTCCTCCTCCTCCTCCTCCCCTCCTCCTTCCTCCTCCTCTCCTCCTCCTCTCATCCTCCTCTCATCCTCCTCCTCCTCCTCCTCCTCCGCTCCTCCTCCTCCTCTCCTCCCCTCCTCTCCTCCCCCTCCTCCCTCCCCTAATCCTCTTCCTCCTTCCTCTCCCTCCTCACTCATCCCTCTCCTCCTTCCTCCTCCCTCCTCCCTCCTCCTCCTCCTCCTCCTGCCCTCCTCCTCCTCCTCATCCTCATCATCCTCCTACTCTTCCTCCTCATCCTCCTCCTCCTCCTCCTCCTCCTCCTCCTCCTCTTCGTATTATTCTTATTATTATTAGTCTTCGTATTATTAGTGTTATGCTTATGCGTATTCTTATTATTCGTCTGATTAGTATGCTTATTATTATTCGTATTATTATTGTTCTTATTATTCTTATTCGTCGTATTACTCTTATTAGTATGCTTAGTATTAGTCGTATGCGTCTTATTAGTATTATTAATAATAATCGTTTTATTATTATTCTTATTCGTCTTAGTATGATTACTAGTGTTGTTATTGTTACTATTAGTAGTAGTATTATTCGTATTATTCTTATTATTCGTCGTATTAGTATCCGTCGTCGTATGTTTCTTCTTCTTATTATTATTATTAGTCTTATTATGCTTGTGGTTCGTCTTATTATTATTCTTCTTTTTATTATTATTATTATGATTCGTATTAGTATTGTTCGTCTTCTTATTAATATTATTCCTCCTCCTCCTCCTCATCATCATCATCATCATCCTCCTCCTCCTCGTATTCTTCCTCCTCCTCCTCCTCCTCCTCCTCATCCTCATCCTCCTCCTCCTCCTCCTCCTCCTCATCCTCCTCCTCCTCCTCGCCTTCCTCCGAGGTCCTGTCCATGCCCTCGCATGTCCACAAAAAAAACTGCAAACGGCTATGGTCGGACGCCGCGCGCCGGCATCATCACCGCGGACATGACGGCACAGGTGAGCGCGCAGAGGCACGTCCAGAAATCTGCTCCGTCGAGAGCATGCAAAATACCGGAGAATCTCAGGAGCTCAAGAGCCGCGCCGCCGTCGGAATGCGTCAAAGCTGTTCTGGGTGTAAGTGAATTACCGAGAGATGCTGATTCCCACCACTTCTGGAGTGGTGCTGTGGGTCACTGGAGAGCGGCTGATGTGGATACGTCCCCGACCAGGGGGCGGGCAGGTACGCGCATCCCCCACTCCTCAAGGCCCTGAGCGCGGCTCCGAAGCAGCGGGCATGGATCCAGGCCGGGGGCAAGGCTGACGCTGGGAAGCGAGCACGGCATGTGACCGCTTGGGGGTGGAAACGTGTTGCAATGGCATCGAATATGAAGGAACAACAAATACCATGAACATCATGTTTTGGAGGTCCACGCGGATTTCTTGCATCGGCGCTAGACCCCCCTCCCTAGCGCGCAGAGCGCTCCAGGGGTGGCGCTGGAGGAGCCGCCAAGGGGCTCCAGCGCCAATCCAGGAAATCCGCGCGGCCCTACGAAAGTGTTATGATTATGCCACTGGTCTACGAGAAAGTGTTATGTTTACGCCACTGGTTGCTCCCCGATGACACTCGGTGGTTCAAAAATGGGATCCTGAGGGATGTGAACCTAAGGATTAAAAGGGATCCAAGGGTGGATTTCCGTTGTTTGAGGCACCTCGTCCTTGAGACCCCATCCCTCAGGACACCACATTTCGAGTAGGAGATCGACTGCAGAATCGATTCACACCCGAATCTACGAAAGACACACAGAAAGCTCCGTCGATCTATGGAACAATCTACGAATGTGTGGTAGATTCGACAGAAAACCCAAGTTGGGGGTTAGTCAATTCTGTAGTCGATCTCCTACTCGAATCTTTCAACCACTGAGACACGGGGGAGGGGTTTGCGAATTCCTGACCCGCCAGCGGGGGTGGCGGTCCCCCGGGGGAGGGCCCGGGGCAGGCCCCCCCGGGGAGGCTGCGCCGCACCCTCCTCCCCCCCCTCTTCCTGGAGTGGCTCGGGCAACCTGAGGTAACACGAAACCAGGACGAGGACAAATTCGGGTGAGGGTCATTCCGACGCCGCGATTTTTTCAAAACCGCCCGCCCTCAATACGTGAAGACCTGGCATTTGCTAAGCGAGAGCCACATTTTTGAAGCGGGCCGCTCTCCATTGTGTAAGAAAGCTTCACGGTTTGAGGGCGGGCGGTTTTACCATGTGGTTCCATGAATCCCACTTCAAGGTCTGTTTTTCGCACCGAGCCGCTTCCTGACGGACCCAGGGCCCTGCCGAGGAACCCCCCCCATAAGACGAAGCCAGGACGAGAACAAAATCGAGCGAGGATAAATTGAGAACCTCTGCGATCCGGCGGCTCTGGAGGATGCATCGGGCGCCGCGGCCTTCTCATTTGAGAGCGTTGCGGAACGCTCTGGAACTGATTTATCCTCGTCCTGGCCCGTCCGATTGGGGCAAGCTTGGCAAGCTTTGGAGCCCTCTCGAGGCCAGCCTCGGCACTGCTGGGAGTCTCGCGGGTCGTCTTGGAAAAGTCCCTGGGGGCCGATCCAAAAGGCCTCCTCCTCCTGCTCCTTCTCCACCTCCTCCTGGCTGAGTCTCTCAGGCTCTCGTATGCCTTCAAGACTCTCTCACCGCATCCGTCGCAAGAACGTCCAAGACGGCCCAAGAACCCCCACCGCCAGCCGAAGATGGTTCCAGACGTCCTCGAGAGGGGCCTCAGAGGCCCCGAAGACGGCCCCAGGAGGGGGCACCCAAAAAAAACACACCACGGTCGTCCAGCTGGAGCCAACCTCTCCGACATGAATCCAAGACCCCCAAGATGCCCGCAAGTGCCCCAAGAGGCCCCAAGGCGCACCCAAGTGGGCCACAAAGGCCCCCGGGAGGCTTTCAAGATGCCCCGCAAGATCCCCAAACATATATTCCCAAGGCCTTTGGAACACGACCCAGGTGCAGCGGCGGACCCACGACCATTAGACCTTTGCCCTCGAAGGAAAGCCGCCACTGCCCCTCGCCTCTTACGCCGAAGCTGCTCACTTCTCATGGTCGGCGGAACCAGCCGCAACGCCTTTGCGATATCGTGTCAGTTCGGGACCATGCTGCTCCCTGATCAGAATTCCTGGTAGCAAGACGTCGACGGTATCATCCTCCGTCAGATTCCTCTTCTTCCTCCACATCATCCTCCACGCATACTCATGATTCCTCCACCTCCTCCTCCTCTTTCAGTCTCTCGTAGTCCTCCTCCTCGTCATTACTTTTTTATCCTCGTCCTCCTCCTCCACCCTTTACTACAGTCCTCCTCTCATGTCCTGTACTCACTGTCCTCGTTCTTGTCCTCCCTTCCTCTTCATCCTCCTCCATTTCCTCCTCCAGCCCGCTGGGCAGCGCTGACAGTGGTCCACGACCCCGCATCTGATTCGGGTGTCCCCGAAGCGGCCATTTCCCGCTTGGTGCCGAGGCCTGTCCCGCAGGAGAGGAGCGGAGCCGCGGAGATCGTCGCGGCGCGGGGCGCCACGTGCACGCGGACGGCGGGCGGCGTGCTGCGGGACGCAGAAAGGCGCAAGAGCATCATGTGCTGATGCTGGAGGCACACGTCCGACACGAAGATGGGCACTCCAGATCTCATCAGTGAGGGGGAGGGGGTCTGCTTTTGTGGGGGTCCAGGGAGCCTCGTCAAGCAAGACTGTTCCGGGGTCTCGATGATGGACACGTTGCTGCACCGCTTTTCAGGGGGGTCCCAGGCGCGCTGTCAAACACTCTTTTGACCCACCCCCCGCTAGTGTGGGAGTTGGGGAATTCTAACAGTGTAAAGTACCGCTTCCCGAGCGGAGTATGGCCAAAAAGCGCTCGCCGCGGAGTTGTGATGTCGCAAGGCCTGCGAGCGTGCGCGTTGCCGTTGCGGGGCCGGCGTGCACAGGCTATATACGGTGGTGCCCGTGCTGCAGCAGCCCTCGGACAAGATTTCCCGTCGACGGTTTTCTGGCGACGCGCACAAGGGCGTGGAGGGAGGGGGGGGGCTTCTTAGAAGGGGGCTGCTTCTTAGAAGGCGCCGGCCTTACATCTATAGATAAGGCCCGCGCCTTCTAAGAAGCAGGGGTGCTTCTAAGAAGCCCTCCCCCCTCCCCCCACTCCCCTCTGCGCGTGGCTGAGTTTTCACAGGTGCCCCGACGTCATCGATTTCTGGGTGCCCTGCGTGGACACCTGGCGCAGGATCTGGTTCGAGGTCTGCGGGCACGGGATGGCCAGCAGCAGAACCATCCAGATCCCGTACGTTCCTGGCAGACACGTCCCCGAGGGGCGCACCACGAGTGCAAGATCGGCTTGGGAATATTGAGGCGGAGCACGCGGACAAGACCGCAGCACTCCGACACCCGCAGCTCACCTTGCGAGGCGCACGGCGGCTGACGTCGCCTACTGGGTGGCCAAAGCAATGAGCATCGGCGAGGCGCTACTTCTGGGTGGCCAAAGCAATGAGCATCGCCTACTGGGTGGCCAAAGCAATGGCAATGAGCACCTGACGGTGGCTGGGAGGGCCGGACCTGGAACGCGTGACACGCCAACGATGTACTCTTCGCACGACGCAGGGCACGGGGGCAACGCGCGGCCGTCACGGGGCAGGTGCACAAGTCGGCCTGGCGGGGCCGTGGATCTGCTCGGCGTGCGCTCGTGCGGCGGAAGCGGCAGCGTATCCAGGAAGGCGCGGCGCACTCCGCTGCGACCCAAAAGCGCACCACGAGCTACGGCGTTTCCGACGCGAGACCAGAGCTGGCTGGCAGGGCGCGCTCACGGCGTGTTGCCAGTGCCAAATTGGGGCCAAATGCGTCCGCCTCGTGCATCGTCAACCTGGGAGCCATCCAATCTAGGAGTCCCAGTGCCTCCGGTACCCGTGCCGATCTCGCCGAGGACCGCGGCCCGCACAACGGACAGCTTCTCCGAAGCGGTCGCAGTGAGGACAACCCGCCCTGGTGCAGTGTGCCATTGGAAGCCTCGCACGTGCTTCGCTCAGCAGGCGCCGCGAGCACGGCGCCTCCCAGCACATCTAGAATCTCGCCGCGGGCAGGCTGCATCACCTTTGCCCGAGAAAATGCCTAAGGGCAGCCCACCATACAGGAGACACGAAAGCTCTTGAGGCTGTGCCGCGGCCTCCCTCCCTCTGAAGCTGGGGGCAAACCGCTGCCTGTGCAAAGACCTGTCCAGAGTGCCCCACAATAGCAGAAGACCCTCGGCCAGGCCGCCTCCACTAGGACTCTTGCTCAGCATGTCGCCCTGGCTGTTTCCCGTGGAGGCCATCTTTTGGTCCGTCGCCAAGTCGATCACTGTTGAAGTGCGCTCCTTTAAGCAGGTCCTTAGCACTCCTATCGAGCATCTGCCTTGAAGGGGAATCCAATACATCAACATCCTCATCCTACCCCATTTCCACTTCTCCTACGCTCCTCCTCCTTCTTCTCCTCCTCCTCCTCATCCTCCTCCGTCTCGTATCCTCTGAACAATCATCATATGAATATGTCCTGGTAGTGGATCCGTCCTGGGTAAAAAAAAGCAACACAAGTATGAATCGGTGTCGAGACGACCCTTCTACGTATTCCACATGAGCTCATCCGAACATGCAACAGAAGACAGCATCGGAATGCAAGGATTGTGTCACTTCAATGTTGTACGTGGATGTTGTTTTCAACCTCGGATCACGCATTGTTCTCAACGAAAAAGAAGCTCACATCGGGCCCAACTTCCTGAGCTGTTTGCCAGCTGCCGCGCACTTTCTTAAACAGAGTGTACCTGGCAGCACAGCTCTGACCGCCGCTGAGCGGCTTGAAAGGCTTATTACATATCGGCATCAGGATTGTCGCATCGTCGGCAGTAAGCTCTTTAAAGTGTTCCGGAAGCTCCGTCGAGGCAAAACCTACGTTGATCACCGCGAACTTCTTCTCATAAGTAAAAGTGAGGCCGTTCTCATCGAGCAACTTGCACTCATCAGGCAGAACACCCACTGCCTGCAAGGCTCGTGCCTCGGCGAGGGCCTTGGGATCGGTCTCGACGCCGACAACGTCAATTCCCACCTTGACGTACGACTTGAACAATGCCAACAGAAAGCCTGTTCCAGAACCGATGTCTGCTACAGCCACGTGACCACTCGCTTCGTGAAGGGCATCATTCAGCTGTACGGCGATGAAGGCATGTACCCCAACGCTGGCGCCGAAATGGCACTCCTCCTTGGGTTCGAAATCGTAACGCAGCTCGCTAAATTCCTCCTCTTCCTCAAGCTTGTCGAAGATTCCAGGAAAACTAGCAAATTTGGGCGCAAGGTGATTCCAGCTCTCAGAACATGGACCAACCTTAGAGTCGCTTCTTGTATCGCTGACCAGCCGACTAGCCACAGAACCACCAATGGCCAGGCCTAGTATTGTTACACCGAAAGTCACGGCCATGTGTTTCTTGTAGACCACCGCGGGGCGCGATGCAAAATGGGTGGCCAAAGCAAACGACTTGAGTCACAATGGATTGAACCCAAATGAGTACGCACTGCCGCTAATTACCCAGACAGGGGTCAAGCGAAACCCAAACTCAAACGCGTCAAGGCTGCGGTACACTCAGGTCAGACACAAAGTTCGCACCGATATTAAAACATACTTCGTTATGGAGAGTTTAAGGGGGACTGGCTCAGGGGAAGGAAACATCGACCCCGAATCAGCGATAGATCACCGATAAATCGGAGACAGGCCCCCGATAACGACTCCGCACGCTCCTGGGCCGGGTGGGGCCAGCAGGCCCCTATCGGCGATGAATGGGCGATTGGGGGTCGATGCACCCCCCCCCTCAGCCAGTCACACCCCAACATTGCCCCTGACCAATTCTGCCCAAGACCGCACCCAGAGGGCCCAAAGACTCCCAAACCGACCCCAGGACGTCCCCGACGGGGACCCGAGACGGGCTCTGGTCACATGCGCCTCAAGGCCTTGCCCCCGAACACTCACCAGCTCAACGATCGCTTGCTTTACCCCTGCTTTACCCCGGGGCCCCGCTTTCCCCAGGCACGATGGCGGATACGCGCGGCAACACAAGTGGATTAAATCGCCAAGACCATCCTGGCGGCGCGCACAAGGGGGCACGGCGAGGGGGTGATCCTCTAAAAGGGTAAATGTCTGGGGAGCCCTCCTGCCTTCTCTAAAAAGCCCTCTTGCAAGCCCCAGGGTCCATTTTATGAAGCCCCCTGCCCTCCTCAGACATCGTATCTCTTTTTGCTGGCCTGCACGGAACAAGCGAGACGCGATCCGGCGTGAATTCCTCCCTGTCCGTGGACCAAGACGCAATGCGAAACTCCACGTGCGGATAATGGAAAGAATAAGTCCCGTAATGTGCCGATTCAGAGTGTGTCACTACAGGTTTCCTCAACTAGATGTCCACGAGGCACTCTTGATCAATCGCCCTCCAGGGAGGAGAGAGAAAATGGTCAAGACAATGAGCCGACACGAAAGGTAAAAGGGATGCCTTCCTCTCCGGCCTATATTGAGCAGTCTCTGGGAGCTTACGGTACACCTCCTCACTGTGACCCATCAACGTATCTGTCGCTCTGAGGCGCAAGTTGTGCTCCCCCAGGAATTCGTCCACCCAACCAGAATGAGCTACTACACCACCCTTTCTTCTTTACTGCCTCCGCCCACACCAAAACCTGCAGGGAGTCGAAGATTGAAGAAAGCACTTTCGCATGGCGCACGCTCATCAGATAGTGGAAGTCTGCACGCCCCAAGGTACCACACGTATGGAAAACCGCGTCTTCAGCGATGTCCTCTAGGGGTGCCGCGATGCGCTCTACTGGATGACCTAGGAGGAGCACATCTTGGTATCTGATCCTGCTAGCGGATAGATTCAACTCAATTTTCTCCCGTAGCAAAACATCTGGGCGACACAGAAATATAATCATATAAATGACCAGACGCTTCTTGGTAGACAACAGTGGTCTGAAACACTTGGCTATAGGAAGAACCATGGAACCGTGATTATCTACTTTCGTCCATGGCTTCCCATGGGGATGTGCATTTGTTGAACCATCTTATTCATCTCATACTCGTAGTCTGCATGGTCCTCGGATTGCGCAACTTCGGAATTATCGCCTCAAGTGTTCTCCTAAACCTCGGACTCAACGAATGCATGAACACATCTTGATGGCCACCCACAAGATTATATCTCAGCAGGACAGCAGGAATCGACAGGTTCATCTCGACCTTCGGTGCTTCTCTCTGCTGAAAACTTACCTATGTGGTTCAAAGATGGGGTCCTGAAGGATGGGGACCTAAGGACGAGGTGCGTCGAACAACGTGAATTAACCCTCGGACCCCTTCGTATCCTTAGGATCCCATCCCTCAGGACCCCATTTTTGCACCACCGATTACCTTACACCCCACCCACGCCACCGTACCTTGCGATCGCGCACCGCCTGCCTCCTTTACCCACTGCGGGCGCGGCTGGGGCCAATAACCCAAAAAAATTCTCACTGCACTTGGATTGCGGCCGCTGCCAATCCGACAACCCCCGCGTGATGGGGGTGAAAAGGGGCGCACATCCCCCTTATCCCCCTTCCCCCAAAGTCCAAAATCTGGTTTTCACATGGGGGTCCCTATACAAGCTCGTCTACGCACCTCTGGGGCCCTCCGAATTTCCAAATCCACCCCCTGTGGCATCCAAGATGCCGAAGATGCCTTCTAAGATGACTCAAGAAAGGAACCGGCACGCCGGACAGGTTTCAAGAACATCCAAAATGGCCCCAAGATGGGCCAAGGGGCCCCCAAGATGCCCGAACAGGACCCCTAAGAGGGCCTCCGACAGTCCAAACATCGCATTTCCCATCCAAGAACGCGCTGGCTTCTGAAAGCCGCAGACCGCCCAAGAGGCCCCCCGACAAGCCCAAGACGTCCCAAGATGCCGCCAAGAGGACCCGGACACGCCGCACACAAACACACAAACACACACACACACACAAGGCATACGCCAGAGGCGCGTGGACGCTGACAGTACTGCACAACGCTGCGCTTCCACATGCGCTGATCATGCACAAGGTCACAACACAGATTGGCACGAAATGACTCTCTCTGCACCATGGTCGCCCACTCGTTGCGCGGACGCCCACAATGCCTGACATACCGCTGCGAAGCCGGACCTGTGGTGTTCGGGACGAACGCATGGGAGCGAAGAACATCTGCGGCAGGTGATCAGGCGACTTTCCCGTAGAGCAGCAATTGCTCCTGCAGCAAGCGCCTGTCCAAGGGTTGGCAGCTGGCCCTTTGGATCACTGCTGCGTTGGATATACGAGACACATAAGACGAAGGAATGCGTAATATTGATCTCAAGCATCGGCAATAGAAAGCATTCAGTCTCCTGGCCTCGGCCGCGTTCAGCCATGCAGATTGCAAGCCGTACATGAGCTTCGAAAGAATGACGGCGTCGAAGATGCGTATTTTTTTCTGGACAGTGAGAAAGACGCGTGGCCCCACAATCTTTGCAACGCCGTGAAATCCCCCCACCCTTGTCCCAGCTTGCGAGATAACTCTGGCATTATCTGTCCGTCCGCGTAGATCCCCACGCCCAAATAGGTCATGCTGTCCTTCATCGGAATAGCGTCCCGGGTAGGCGTCCGGAGAACACACTTTCTCATTACTCCGATCAGCTGAAGCTTTGACCAGCGAAGCGCCATGCCGTACAAGCCACCGACATGCGCGACAGAGTCTAGCATTTCTTGTAGTCGAGCTTGGCTGCGGCCGGCCAAGAGGGCGTCGTCTGCGTATAGGATGCACTCCATGCGCCCAGCTTCGAGGTCCGCCCGGGCATCCGGCGAGAGTCTGGCCGAAGCATCGTTGACGATCACTGTCACGAGCATCGCGAACAAGAACGGGGACAACGGGCATCCTTGAGAAAGTCCAGATTTCTGCTCTATGCTATCCGACTCTGCGTCGCCGTCGCTGACGCAGAAACGGCGCTACGAATATATGTGATGCACCATTTGGACATACTTTTCTGGCAATCCGAACCGGCGGAGGGCCACCATGAGCGCGTCCACGTTGATAGAGTCGAACGCCTTCTGCCAGTCTAAAGCACCATGCCGACTTGCCCGTCCGTCCAAACCAATTCCATATCAATGCGCGGGCGCACCATGAAAATAGCGTCGCCGGTGCTCCGGCCAGCGCGGAAGCCGAACTGCGCGTTCGTCAGCCGTCGCTCCACCCCTGCCCGCTGCAGTCTTTTCAAAAGAATGGAAGCGAAAAGCTTGCTGGTCACGCAGATGAGACTGATTGGCAGGTAGTTGCCGCAGAGCGTGACGCCCCCCTTCTTGTGAAGGGCCATCACGTTTGCGTAGTGCCAGTCCTCGGGGATACTCTCTTTCAGCCAACATTCGTTGCACATGCGCGTGAGCCAGGTGAACCCTTCCGGCTTGCTCGCAACTGCGTGCCAGTACTCGCTGTACACGCCATCTGACCCACATGCTCTCTTCTTCTTCTTCTTCAAGCCGCGGAGAGCGTCGCCCACTTCTTTTTCCGTGATGTCCCCACGGTCTGCCGGCAACTCGTCTCCCAAAGGCTCGCCGTCGGTCGATGCTGCTGGTCTGACGTGCCACTGGGCTCGCTCTGAGTATTCGGCCATGGTGTCAGCCCACATGCCGCTGTCGCTGTCAACCAATGCGCCGCTCTTGTCCTTCAGCTTGCCGTTTCTCGGTTTCCGAGGTTTCCGGCAAGGCCGGATGCTCTGCCAGCCCCCTGTTGCGAGTTGTTTGTCCAACCAGTTGGTTATGTCTCTCTTGGCCATGTTCCGAGCCGTTTTGCGCAGCTCGCGCGCCAAAGTTGCGCCCCCGGCTTCTCTCGCAGCACGTTCGCGGTCCAACACGACCAGCGTCTCCTCGGATATCCACGGCCTGTTCGCTTTCCGGACAGGCGCCGGAAGCGTGGCCTTAGCAGCTGCCAGCGCCCGGCCCGTGACTCCCCAAGCTCCCGGAACGGTGCCCTGGTCGTCCTCGACGGCCACGCTGTCGCAGAACGCTGTGGCAAAGGTTCGTTGGATATCCTTTTGCTCTAAGGCAGCCGCGCCCTGTCTGCGGGAACGGGCAGGTTTACTGCTATCACGCCTAGGAATCTCCACCACGGCTCGCACTAGAAAATGGTACGTTGCAAGGGCTGCTCTGCGAATAGATCTCACATCCCGGATGCGACTGAAGAGCCCCCAATCACACAACAATAGATCTAACATGCTAAAGCCTTGCTCTGTCACAGGATCTACTTGCGTGAACCCCGATTCCATGAAGGTCGCCTTGCTCTCCGGCTCCCCGGGGACGAAAGTGCGCGCCACCGCCAGGGAGTTTCCCAAGCAGAGCTCCACCAACAGATCTCTGTTCGGAATGTCCACTTCGCGGCTGGCACGGGCGCCGAAGACGCGCTCACCAACAATGTGCTCTTCGCCAGGCTCGCTGCGCCCAAGTCTCGAATTCAGGTCTCCGAACATGAATTTCCCTTGGTTTGCCGAGCACCGCCGGTACGCCGCATCTAGAGCAAGGAAAAACTGCAGTCTCTCGTCGAGATCTCGGCCATTATGTGGAGCACAAGCGCACACGGTGCCCGCGGTGCC